GAAAACGTAGAGGCTCAGCATTATAAAGATCCCTCGCAACAAGGATAGCCCAATGTTTCGTGCTGAGTTGGAGAGATGTTTTTTCAGTATTAAATAAAGGATGTTTTGTAAATGCCTCTTTCCTTGATTTAATCTAAGTAATGTCAGAGACTAAATCCCTATTTTAAGTACAAAACTAATTCCCTTTAACTCTGAAGCTGTGGGTAGCATGTCTATAGTTAGGTTGGCACACTGTCCTCACCCCATCAGAACCTAAAATGAGGATGTGAATGAAGGTGACAGGTTCATAATTGGGTTTGTGCTAAGGCTTTTACATTCTCCCACATTTCCTGTTTATATACTTGTTTTTAAGGATTTTTTTTTTAATACTTGGGCATGTATTCTCTGGGCAGATACCTAATATATATTTAAAAGCAGCTGGACATGACGATGTAGGCTAATCCTGCTCTTCTTTAAATCATCGCTAAAGTAAAGCAAAGACCAGATGTTGATCACAGATCCTTTAATAGACTGCAGTTTTAGAGGCTGTTTCATGCTGTAGGTCTCTGCCTGGGTACAAAGCCATATTGTCTGTTGTTTGTTAAATTATAGAGAACATGTAGGGAGAGAAGATATTTCATCTAATAGAAATATTTCATCCAGTGAAACCCTATTTAATTGCAAATGAGTTAATTGGGGTTTTTTGGTCTTCTATTGCACTTTAATGGAGTATGATGTAATATATTAGGCATTGAATTTTGTTAGGATTTATTAGGATTTGAGACCAATAGCATAGTTATAGGACAAATACAGTGGCCGTAATGCCATGTAGTTTAGGTATTTTCATCATTTTATCTTGCAGGTTAGTGCACAGATGTAGTGCACTTGAAATGGAAGGGGAAGAAAAAAATCCATGAAAGCTTAATTACAGTATACATGTGTCTAGAAGAGACACATTTGACAGTGCCTGCCGCTGTTATGTAATATAATAGGTATCTATAGTGCTTTAGGAAACCTAATGTGATTTGGTTTATCTAGCTTATGTAGAGTGCCCGTTGTAGTGCCTAAATGCTGGCTACCAAGCAGCAGTTGAAGAGCACAATAACTCACTTTGGGAATGAAAAATAATTGACACTAACACATAGAAAGTGTGTTTAAAGCTCTTTAAAATGTGACTGACTGAACCTCATTGCAGTCCCAGAGAATCACATATATGTTTTTGTAAGCGCTTACTTCAGACTGGGTGAAAAATTAGGTGTGATCCAGAAATGAGATGAGATGTACAAATGTTTACATGAATTCTTATATTACAGATTTATGATTTCCTTTCCACACAGGTGAAATGCACATACACTGTGGAAAACTTTAAACAAGCTGAAGTTTCAACCCAAAAGGATAATGAAGAGGGAGATAACTAATAATATCTTTCTGCTATTAAAAAAAAAAAAAATCAAGAATTAAACTGTACCATTCACATGCATTTGTTAAGGCAGAAACCTGTGCCCATGCACACTGCTTTAGAGGGACGTTTTGATCTATGGGTAGAAGGGAAGCAATGCAAATGTACATTCTTCCATAGCCTTATTGCAAACTGGCTACAGAGTTTGCTGCTTTTTGTTTTAAATGTATGGCACCATACAAGGAGTTACTGGTTGTAGTTTTTGTAGTGGTATTTCTGTCCCCCTGACAACTTCTGTACTTACAATAGCAATGCTTCCAACGTGTTGGCTGTGGAATCTGGAATATGATGTCTCTTGAATTGCATACTTTAATATGGATTCTTACATATATTTACCTTTGAAATGCTTTTTTTTTTTCCCCCCCTTCCTTTTTAGGTTATGAACTCAGTGTTTAAGACTATTCTAGACTTGACATATCCAATAACCTCTATGTTTTCTGGAGCAGCTTTTAACAACAGCATCAACAGCATCTTCAAAGATAAGCAGATAGAGGTAGGTTGCTTATTCACTTTATGTATAGTAAATGATGTCCCTGTATTCTGTTCTGGTGAAAACAGCTTTCTTCCATGCTAATATGAGATATGGGGCTGTGGGATGACTGAAAACATGCTAAAACTGTGAATGTGATGTTACATGAATGTAGGAAGGAGCCTGTTCTTTCATTTTGGTTGATTTAGAAAACACAAGTAGTAGATTATTTGTAGCTACTTCTGTTCTGTTTGACAAAGGCATCCTGTTTTCTGAGAGAGAATGTTAAAATTGTGTCACTGAAGTAGAATTGCTGAGACTGTTCTATCATTTTTCTGCAAATCAGGTCTAAGAGACCCTTAGGGCAAACCAGAAGAAGGTCTTGAAGATGGTAGCAATGGGCTTGGCTTTTTTTTTTATTTGATTTTTGAAGCTAGAGTGAGTTTTTATGAACAGCCTATTGAGAACTGCAATAACGTCAAAGTGTATTGCTTCCTGTTTTGCATATCGTGACCTTTTGTAATTGCTAGATGTTGTATGGTCTGCCTGAGCTGATAGCCATGCTTAGAATCCCACCTATCCTCTGTCCCTCAGCAGTAGCAATTTATAAAGCACGTTATCAGTGGTTGTCCTCCTAGATCACCAAGCTTAGAGAGTGTTTGGGTAGTCTTGCAATCGTACCTAATTTGCAGTTTTAACCAAATTATTCCTGTGTTTAGAATCCTTGTGATGAAAGATTATGTAGCAAATTAACACTATATATACTTTAAATATATTTATTAAAAAAATCTAAAACATTCCCTACTTAAATGCAAGTTTGAAAATAAATCGTGAATCATTATGTGGCTTAAAACTAGCATTCTGCTGTGCAGAGTGGATGGTGCTGGGAACAAACAGATTTGAGAGTGATAAGTCCTTCTGAGACTGGTATTATTTTTGTTTGTTATTTGGGCAGCACCAGCCATACTCTCAGTTCTTCAATCATGCTTCCTGAAGCACTCCAGCTCCTATCTTTAGTTCCAGCAGTGCCTGATAGGAAAACATGTGATTGTCCAATGACTAAACCAGCTCCTCTCTACTTGCTTTGACATAGCTGAGGAGCTGCTGTATGCGAAGCACTGAGACCTTCTTGGTGGTGTGAAGCATGCCCTTCTCTCGGTTAACTTGGTGTGAATTGTGGATGGTACATTGCAGTGTGAGGCTGTAGGATAATGCTGAGCAGAGCTTTGAGAAGGAGTGAGTGACAAAATGGAAGAAAATCTCCTCTGAGTTTAGGTGGCTCCAGCTTCCCCTGGTCTGCTATCGCTGCTTTTGATTTCAGCAGTCAATTTATTGTACTTCCCTTTAAGATGTAGTAGATTCCTTCCTTACGGTTTTTAACAGCTGTAATTGTATGATCTGTTCTAACCTTGCAGTCACAGGAAGGTTTTATCCAAGAGAAATCCGGTTCTGAGGCATGCAACAGCATCATCTTTGTGTGTGCGTGTTGAGGGTCATCGGCTAAACCCTTCAGTCTGTGCCTGAGGACTTCCTCACATTGGAAGACTTCCATCAGATAAATAAGGAGAAATGTTGTGTAGCTGTGCAAGGAGAGAGGCAGTTACTCCTTCATTGCAATTCATGCTATCAGCACAGGTTAACCAGTCATGTCACTAGACAGATGGAAATTGAAAGCTGCCTAAGTGTAACTTACAAAGTAACAGAAGCTGAACTAAGATGCATTAAGCCTTGAACAAATGTTTTCTTAAAGCATTATTTCAAAGCACCTAAACTGCAAACATCCATCTTTTCTCAGTGGTTGGAGTGTTTTCGGAGGGGGGTGGGTAGCAATGATTTCCAACTGGAAATACATATTAGCAAGAGTTAATTATAGCCTTAAAAACATAGGTTGTGTTTGGATGCTTGACCACAACTGCTTCTTCCTGGGAGAATCCACAGTAATGGTAGCAGAACCCAAGAACTTCCTATCCGAGGGGCTGGGGTGGGTACTGGCCCTTGTGTCTCTCTAAAAGCTTAAAATTAGGAAGCACAGGGCTAGATGCTCCTTTTTACTACCCATGGCTGTGAGGTGGCACTCCTGCACTTATCACGCATGCCCTCATCCTCTTCTGCATCAGAGCCAGGGAGCAGAAGCACTTATGATGAACTGTTATTTCTGACATTGAAAGGGAGGTTTCCATTTTCTCTTAAATTTGCTCTCTAACAACCCTTGTAACGTAGGTGTCTCCTGATTCCCAGCAGTGCTGTTTGTGGGGTAGCCCTGGTTACCAGCAACCCCCGTGATTGCTGCTACAGATGTCAGCCAAAGACGCTCCACGAGAAGAAATCAGCCTGTGCAAGTTCTTCCAGGAAAGAATGCAGAAATCCAGGGCAGGGCGCTTGAAAGATATTTCTCAAGAAATACTTTATTGCTCCTCTGAAATTACCCATCCTTCTGGGAGAGCACCAGGCTCTGCAATTTTTATGTCCCATGCCAGAAGCGCAAAATGCTCTTGCAAGTCATTTCGGCTGAAGGTTCAGGTGTGAGGAATCAGAAGAGAGTCTTATCAAGTCCTGTTTCAGACTTGAATAATGCTCTGTCTCCAACATAAATGAAACAATATCTGAGAAATGCAGTCTTTATTACTGCGTGATATGTCTTGGTTTAGTTTCCTTCATGCATGTGTTTGCATGAATATGAAAGGAAGTGTCAGATAGACTTCTTTCCCTGTTCCCCTGTTTTTGCTTAAAATATGGTTGATGCATTGAGATCTGCAATCATCAGAATATCTATAGCATGGAGAGGCACCCCTAATACTCTCGTAGTCACACTTTATTCATCCGCCCTCCTATGGCATTTATACCAGATGGGTTGTAATACTTGTGCAGCATGTGTTAGTCCTCCCCAATTCCACCATCTTTGCAGAGCTGCTTAAGAGATTAAACTCGCTAGAAAAAAACCTCCTCCTTGGCAGTTCAGAATTTTGTATTGAACAGCACAGAAGCTTACGCCAGAAATACAGACTGACCAGAGAGGGAGTGCTTCTCAGCTCATACTGATAGCTGGAGTCTAAACCCTTGTTTGGCTTGAGTTTAAGGCACATCAAAGCTATGCTACAAAAGACCCAGACACCTCATCCTGTGAACAAAGAGGCTGGCTGGATGGGAAAGCAGGTTTACATCTTCAGTATTAATTCAGCTTTGCTGATTGACAGAGAACTATCAGCTGTTCTCTGGGCATAAGTTCAGTTTATTCAAACAAGTCCTCCTCCTTCCCCTTTGCCGGCAACCCTTTCATTAGACACCATGGAGACTTCCCAAAATGATCCTCTCCAACAAACTCCTATGCAGTTGGGGGGCCACCTTCCCATTCAGTTTTTCCAGCTAGTGGGATGTGAGTACAGACATGGCTGAAACAAAAATGAGAACTTCCCCTGCCAGGAGCAGGGCATGTTGATTTGGTCTAGCTCATGTTGAATGAACTTGCAAAGTACTTAGCTCAGCCATTCTTTTTGTATATCATCCTGCTTATTAGGTAGGTTATGTACCACACTCCTCACTGCTATTTTACCCTTCAATATCTGAAACAACCTCTGGGGTCGTCTTGAAGATATATCTCGCAGGATCCCTTGTTCCTGTAGGTAATGCTGCAAAGATTTGTGTTGTCCTCTTTGACTCTAAGCAGCTTTGGGTCTCAGCAGCATTGCTCTGCATCTCCTGCTG